GGGGTGGGTGGTGGGTGCCAAAAGAAGCATTGTTACATATTAAGTTGAATCATCTCAAGAATTTAATTGAAAAGAACTAAGAAGAAAACTTTAAAAGATATTTCTTTTCGATTCAGAAAAATCTGCATAGTATTTAGACAAATCTACATAGTATGTTTTAATAGTTTTTTTTCAAAGGTTTCAAGGGTACCGTGGTGAATCAGACATGCCATTTTGGAATGGAGAGTATAGTTACTCGTTTAAAAAAAATCTAAAATTGTTGGGGAAAGTATATATATATAACTAGGAAAATGGTAGTCCTGGAAGTTAAAGAATATGAAGCAAAATAAGCAAAGGAATTCAGTTTTCGCCAGAAACTCAAATCTTTGGATCCATATATTTATACAACCTGATGGTGCAAACCTTTGGATCCATATATTTATACAACCTGATGGTGCAAACCTTTGATATTTCAAACTTTGATTAGTTGATCTATAAGAATTCATAGTGTGAAATATCTAAGGTCTACGACATTGTGTTACAAAGATATAGGGATAAGGAAATCAGAGTTTGTGGCAAAGGCTCAATTCCTTTACCAAGAGAGATGAATGAACGAATGTATCAATTAATGGTGTTAAAACGTATGTAAGATCTGCGTACAATCCCTTTAATGCTTCAAACGTAAAATTCCATATTTCATAATGTTGTAAATGTGGATATTGTGTAAGTTTGAAGTATTTGAGTGTGTTAACTCAGTACTTGGATAGGATGATGTCATAAACTAGACCCTGGAGTCCTGGTTGGAAGTTAAGCGGGATAAACCAGACCCTGGAGTCCTGGTTGAAAGCTCGGGGGGATAAACTAGACCCTGGAGTCCTGGTTGGAAGTTCAGGAGGATAAACTAAACCCTGGAGTCCTGGTTGGAAGCTCAGGGGGATAAATTAGACCCTGGAGACCTGGTTGGAAGCTCAGGGGGATAAACTAGACCCTGGAGTCCTGGTTGGGGTTAAGGGGGATAAAATAGACCCTGGAGTTCTGGTTGGGAGCTCATGTGGATAAACTATACCCTGGAGTCCTGGTTGGGAGCTCAGGTGGATAAACTAGACCCTGGAGTCCTGGTTGGAAGCTCAGGGGGGTAAACTAGACCCAAGAGTCCTGGTTGGAAGCTCAGGGGGATAAACTAGACCCTGGAGTCCGGACTATGGGAGATAATTTCTTATTTTCTAAAGACCAGGAATATTCAATCATGTAGTTTCTGGATTCAATTAACTGCTAGGATAACTGAGTATGATTGGTGACCAAACTAGTTTAAGGTAGCAGTTTCTCAAGGATCAAGTGTGTACACTGTATTGGAGTAAGATCTGATTTATCCAACCCTGCATTCACTAGCTCCATATGGTTCTCCAGACACTATGGTGTAAATACACGGATAGAACAACAGATGTAAATCTACATTTCCTATTCCCGTATCTCTAGTATACAAGTATACCACGGGAATATGAATATATTACAAGATCCCTGCAGGCAAGCCTGGCTCAAGGTACTCTCAACAGCTGTAGACATTGATCCAGGAGTTAAATGCAAACTAAATCTCTTGAGTTTCATAATCCTGCACTCTTGGTATAATACTATATAAAATGCTTCATCATTTACCCAGTCTGGGGTTTCACTTTAAACTATTAACAAGGACTTTTCAAGTTTACATACAGCCTAGAAATCCAGCGGGGTTCTTCAGTTTCTCACTTTCATTTACAATTTGCAAAATTTAGCATGATAAATCTTAAATTTCTTATAAAAAATAATTAACAACAAGCTTTATTATTGATACATGTTTTTTTAACGTAATGAAAGATATGATATTTTTTCTCTGTCGTTTTGGCATATTTTGACTGGTGAATTTGAATCTGTGAACTTATTTGCAAAATGTTTAAAAAAGAGAGATTACCTGCTTGCGATTTTGGAAGAACTACACAACATGTGAGAGCATGTCGGTTCTGTTTCTCCGCGTATCCAGTCAATGCAATACATCCTCCGAAGAATGTAATGTGCCAAAAGTAGGTGAATACTACGCAAGCCCCAGTGTATACGCAAAATATCTGTACGCAGGGAAAGGGTGTGATGACGCCGATCCAGAAACTGAGCATATCCGTGATAGATGTGATGGTGATGGACACGGCGGCGTCTCTGTAGCAGTTCCCCATCCTAACGGAGACAGGATCGTGGATTGAAGTTCTCCTCCAGGAGGCTAACATGACGAAAGTATCATCTATCCCTATCCCGAGCATGAGGAAGGGAGCTGCGAGGTTAATGCCAATAAACTCCATGCCGAGGTACATAACCAGACCAAAAGCAGCGATGGATCCAAATATTGCGGACACAACTCCCATAAGTCCTAGGAGGGGTTTGGATTTCACCCAATCCGTCATCATACAGGTTATTATACAGAAGAGGACCATAATGCCAATGTTGAGGGAGAAGTATGGGATAACGGAGTTAGTGTTGTTCTCTAGTTCTGTCTCCAGGGTGAGAGAACTAAACCGTTCTATAACAAGGTTTGTCAGGTTTAAAGAGTTGACTGATGCAAGGAAGGACGCCTCCCAAGTAGATCCTCGTTTAATCATCCAGGGTTCTGTAGTGTCGAGAAAGTAGAATAAGCTCACAGCTTCAATGCCTTCGATCGTACTGTCCTCTGTCAGATGAAAACCACCGAAGAACATCGGGAAAGCATATGCCTTGAATGTATCCGGACTGAGCCAAATAGGATAGGTTAGGTTGAGCTCCCTGGATTCTATCTCCTCTATGTATGCTCCCAACTCCAGGATTTCGTTCCCCCAGCAGTATCCGTTCAACGCCTTGGCGCAGATATCTTTATAACCAAGGTTTGTCTCCTCCCACTGGATACTGATATTCTTAACAACATCGTTCAGAAAACTAAGTTCTCTCCAAACCTGAGATCGAAGAATACTGCCTCCGTCTGCTGCTGTAACTATAAGACGACCAAACCTTCCTCCCCTGGAAGCTCTACTAGGATCAAACTGACTGTAGTTTGTAGGAAAATGTGATTCCAAGATTGCTCTTTCAGTCTTCGCTTCTCCGTCCGAGGGACTAAAAAGATATTCTGGATCTGCCACTATATTCACTGTTTGAAACCCGGAGGCACATAGCGCTGTTAATAGTAAAGGTATTATGAGAAAATAGCCAGGATTTTCTCCAATAAAGAATCCTAGATTGTAAAACCATTTTTTTAGAAATTTGTCTAAGAAATGAGAATTGCATCCCATTTTGAAGTTTTTTTCTCACTGTGTTTTTATATCATTAATTTCACTTTATTTCACCATTGTCACCGTCCAGGGTCTAGCTAGTTCTTCTTCTGCTGTGTATATTATACATATTGAGGATGGGTTTCACTTGGTTTCTATGACCTACTCATCAATTTGGCGCCAGAGGCATGGTTTCACTATCTCCTAATGTCTACCAGAGACTGCAACGCTTCATAGACTGACGTCGTATCTGAGAGTTAGAGCCGGGACCGGCCCGTATATTTGGGCCAGAAGCCGCACACACCACGTTCCGTTAGTCTACGCCAATCCAGAATAGGACGGTCCGGCAAATATTTGAAATTCCCCCTGACCCCCCCCCCTCCCTCTTCACGCTTTAGACAACCCGGCCGGTCAGTCAGCAAGGATTCCATCGGTCAAACTGTCAAAATTTGTCTTCATTTTTTTTTGGTAGATTTCAAACATTATCTAAAACATCCGACTGTAACTAACAAAATAAAGGCAGGGTTGTATTTTAATTATAAGTGATTGAAGATAAGTGCACATTCGATGGTTGAAATGCGGGGGTGGTTGTTAAGAGGTCGGAGGGGGGAGGAAGGTA